TGAAACGGTCGTGTGCAAGCTGATTCCAACCATCCCTCGTTCGTGTGTTTCAAGACTATACACTGGGAAGAGCCTTTAGAAACAGGAAAGCTCATTTGCCACTTCTCTGTGGACCCCCTCACTCACCACCCACCTGACAGAGCCTCCCCACCGCTGTCCATAGAGTCTGGGGCATCTGAGGAGCCACGGTTACCGCAAGTGTGTGTCTAAAATGCCTTCTGTCATCTCTCATCTCAGCGGGGTCCTTCCTTGGCCTGTGACAGAAATAAAGCTCCGCTCTCCCAGCACGACTGTCCAGTGTGCCCTCCTCAGCTTCTGCAACACAGTCCTCATTCCCCTCTGATCTCTTCTTCTCTCACCTTGTCCTCTCCACGTAGCTTTTCTCCCAGAAACTGCTGGTGACTTTCTCTTCTCCCTCTCTGTGGTCTGGAGACATCCACCATCACCTTCAAAACGATGACCTCAGTCCATGGTGTGAACTCCAGCCCAGCTCCCTCCCCCGGGCACAAACCTCTCAGCCTCCTGCAGCGATTTCCTTCATGCTGCAGTGATGCTCGTGTCCTCCACGCCCTGTTAGCAGCGCGACACTGAGCCCTTCCCCCAGTGCTGCCGAATGTGTCACTCCCATATTTGTAGGATGGACGATCATCTGTGTCCTAGCGGTCTGGAGGTATAAACAGGTGGCATGAGAAGTAGAAGACCCCTTGCACACAAGGATTCAGAAATGATTTAGGTGAGCTCATGGACAATGTGTGCCATCAGTAGGAGGAAATAGCAATACTCTGACTGCGTCTAACTTGGGGGAAGATCCCTCAGACCGTTCACTGGGCCTGGCGTCCAGTGGTCCGACCTGTGGACATTAAGCCTTCAGGCCCCTGTGGTCACAGTCATTTGCTGGAGCTTGACACTGGAGCTTTTGGGGGAGTGTGTTTACTGGAAATGCCTCATCTACTCTGAAAAGGTCACAGTCATTTGCTGGAGCTTGACACTGGAGCTTTTGGGGGAGTGTGTTTACTGGAAATGCCTCATCTACTCTGAAAAGGCTTCAGGGGAAACAACAGAAAGTCTGATGGGGGTAAATTGTGGGGTCAAAGCGGTGAGTAAGTCTGTGTCAGGTTAGCATGCAGAAGGTGTGGTGCAGGGATTTCTTTTCCTTTTTGACAAGACTGCTATTTCCTAAGGCTGTGGACTTCGAGGCACTTACACCCTGAGCCACCTGAAGGGTCAGGACATCACTTCTGTTGTGTCCTCTTCCCACACTCTGCACCTTTTGTGCATACTTGCAGCAAAGCCCACCCTGGACCCTAGGTCAGCAGTGTCATTTTTGTGGATGTTATAGTGTAATTTCCACTTAAACCAACTTTCCAGTTCAGCACTGTCCCAGGGAAATACAGTGCAAGCCACATATGTGATATGTTTTCTAAAAGCAATATTTTTGAAAGAAGAGACAGGAGAAAGTCACTCTGATAGTGAATTATTAACTCAGAGTGTCCAAAGTGTCACCACCAGAGTGGCGCCAGTGCTCTCGTGGATGGTCCACGTCTCACCACCATCCTGGTCATGGGCTCATTAGAAATGGATGAACCCTCTGGCACCTGAGCGAGGACGCTGCCTGTGTCCATCCCCGCGCTGTCCTCCCCCACCAGCATGGTAGACAGGCGTGAGAGCTGTGCATGGTTTTCAGTAGGACATGAGGATATGATTCACCACAAATAATGGAAAACTTACATTCTTGAAACTTCTTTACATACAAAAGGGTGTCTGATTTTTGTTTTGTTCTTTTTTTAACAGAAACACCAGCTAACTCTGTTGACCTGTTTTTACTTGCAGTAACTTCTTTAGAGTTTTAAAATATAAATCCTGTTTGGTGGCTTCTTCATTCCTTGATGTTTTTTCGGTTGTTGTTTATTCAGTTTAATGTAAAACTTCAGAATGTGCCAAATCTATAGTCACTAACAGGGAAACTTGTTTTCTGTAGCATAGGGCTGGCTGGTGGGATTTCCCTGCACCACCCTGTGTCACGACACCTCCTGAGACTCTCTTGGGAGAAGTCAGCCCTGATTAATCTATTTTACCTAGAACCTCCTCCTAGGCAGCAGGCTTCACTATGGAAACCCCAGTGCTTCCCACGAATGCTCTGGGGACGCCAGGGAGCGATGACCGTTCTGAGGATAGTGGCTGTTGCTCTCAGACCACCCGCCTGGAACGCTCTGCTTGTCGTCACGATGAGTACTCGGGAAAATGAAACATGAACCAGAAGTCAGAGGTGTTTCTCTGGAAGAATAAGGTTGTACTTTAGATCCCAAATAGCAGGCAGTGCTGAGCAGCATCTGAAGGGCTGGTGTGACCATGTCACATCACAGACTCATTGTGGTGGGTTGCATGACAGTCAGCCTTGCAGGCTGGGGAGAGGGAAAGAGAGAGATGCCTTCACTCTGACAGCACGGGCATCTGGCCTCCAGCCCACCCTGTGAGTCGCTCAGAGTGCCAAGCAGCAGGAGACAGGACGCCTGAGTCTTGGGTCCTGGGACAGCCCCAGCTTCCCGCACACATCAGCACGAGCACCTCGCCCCTGCGTGTGATTCTGGAGTTCAGGAGAAGCCAATGTTCACGCAACATGCAGGAAAGTCACCCAGCCGGTGGTCACCCGATGACGCAGCCCCAGCTGTGGAGGAAAAACTGCCTGTGTGAGACTTACCATGAAGTCATGTTCTTCTCTCCAGCATGGCACCTTTTTGAGGCCTCTGAGGATGACTGATTCATTTCACATCGCCCTGTGTGCTGGAGCCAGAACCCAGTTCCTGCGAAGGGAGACTACACAGCCTTCACAGGTGTGACAGGAGCTGACCCAGTGAACAGCAAGCGGTGTGGGGAAACTGTTTCAGAAGATTACCAAGGAGAAAGGACAGCGTGAAAATTAAATTTCACACTTTCTAAGTACCCATAGGTGGGAATTTTCATGAACCAGAATCAAAGCCTATTTTCACCTACACTCTTGGCTGCTGGATGTGAGTTCTCTGAGCCTGTCGGATCTCAGGACCCCAGAAAGTGGGGGATCGTAGACTTCATCAATCCACCAGAAAAGCTGGTTACTGATAGGGGGGTGGGCTCCAGCACTCCTGAAGTTGAGTGAACCAGATGGGAATGGTGCTGTGCAGGATGGGCCTAATGGAACAGTGGGCCTCAGGGGCCACAGGAATCCCACGCAGCAGGGGGTCTCCCTCAGTGGGGGCAGGAGGAAGGAGAGCCCCTTCCATGGCTCTCTGCTCTGGGACTCACTGCCGCCCCACCAATGAGGCTCGCTCTCCTTCAGCCACTGTGGGTGGTGTGCTGGTTTTCCTTGTTCCAAGACCACCACTCCAGTGTCAAGTTGGGCTTAGATGGGACTGTGGTGTCCCCAGTCCTCAGCATCAGCTCTGCTGTGGGTCTGTCCCACATTCACTTTGAAGAGCTCCAAGGACATTGGGGTCCAAGAGTGCATTCGCTTGGGTTTATGTGAACAACCCAGTTGTCTCCATGAGGAAATGCTCAGAGGGACAGTCTGATCTCAAAGGCCACCAAATCTAACTTTTGGCTGGATTTTTCTCAAGCTTCTTTTTCTCTTTTACCCCACCCTTGCCACGTTCTGCTCTCTGGCTCTTCTGTTTCATGTCTGTTTCTATTTTCTTATTTTTAACCTTCCTCTGAGAGAAAACAGTTGAGAGAGTGTGTGTGATGAGGGGGCTCAGTTCAGAGGAGCGCAGAGGAGTGGTCACGCTGGCCCCGCCAGGGAGAATGTGTTTGCCTCCAGAGCTAGCCATTGCCCATCAGTGGTTTTGTGAACATTTCTGGTAAAAGTCAGGTGCTGGTATTTACAGCGGATGCTCTATGAACTGTCCACACACTCCCCCCTCCCCAGGTTCCTCCCACCCCACCCATGTGCATGAGTCTCTGACACAGGTTATTCAAGGCGGGGATTCCAGTATCTTTTTCCTGACATTGCCCCTTAGCCCCAGGGCTCTGGTTGCTTTGATTCTGGCCCCTCACAAGGCTGCTTCGGGCTTCTCTCTCGGCAGAGCACATTGGAATTGTCCATGCTCAGTCCTGGGCTGTCTCCTCTCCAGAGCTCCCCACTTGAATAAAGTGTTCAGGCCAGGTTGCTCCTGACCACTTTCAGCTCGTGGGGTCTTCCTAACCCTGTAAACTGCCACCCAGAACTGCCAGTTGCTTATGGAAAGGCCCTTGACCTCATTAATCAGTTCAAAATACAGTCTGATGGTGAAGAAGCAGCATCTAGAGTGACTGTAGACAGGCTCACTTCACATCTGAGAATGATGCAGATCAACTGTGACCGTCACTCACGTCCTCAGGGGACTTTTTT